AAAAGTAGCCTAGTAATTTTAAATTTAATATGTAAATTTCCTTACCCGGACCTAAGTGATAACTTGGCGTTCTTCTTTCTATTTCATTTATATTCTAAAGTTTAATCTACAATGTGCTCTCTGCGTCTAGAAACTTTCTATTTTGTAGCCAATAAATACGTTGAAAAAATCTGCGCAAGTGGATAAATTGTATATTATACACTGTACAATCGTATACTGTCGACAATTTTTTTCAAGCGTTTCGATTTGCTTATATAAAATAGAATGTTTCTAGATGCAGAATGCACATTGTAGATTAGATTTAAAGGTCCTGATTTAACTTACTTGTTTAAAATATTGTTCGCCGCGTCTATATTATATTATATATATTCGCGAAAAGAACAATCTTATTTTTCGGAATCAGAGAGCGTCCAATTTTTGCACCTGCATACAGATAGTCCGATATGCTGTGCAATATTTTCAAAGTTCCCGTACGTCGTGCAGAATATTTAAATTAAGATAATTGTACGCGATCGAACGTCTGTCTATGTAACGCACGCGAGCTTTTTATTTGGAACGGTCGGTCATTACCTCGATATATCTGCTGGCTCAGTGCAACTGACGTGTTACGCTTCCCTTCGTGAATAATTTGTCGCAAAGAGTGGAAGAAAGGAAATTTTTTTAAACGTATTAACTGTCAGATTAATAAATATATAGTGTAAGCTGCATTTTGTAATTCCGTCTCGCGGAATATAATTATTCATGAGAGTTCAATGTGCTTCACGTATACGTTATTATCGTATAATTTACCTCGCCATTGCTGCATAATATATTTATTGATATTGCTACTGTTACGCAGCTCACAAAACATCGACACTTTTACCGTGCAACGCATTCTGCACGATCGTTTTCATTTTGTTCCTGCTCTTTGCAGATCGATATCGTCGACAACCCCCTCGCGGCGGCTACGAACATATGTTCCAAGGATAGTCTGCAGTCTGGCCGATAGTCTATTATTGTAATGATAGGGAAGGGAACGCGCTTAAAAGTTCAGCGCTTCAGTCTGTGATGCATAACCCAACGTAATTCGTGGATTATTTATAAAAGCGACAATTTAAATAAAGCAAAATTTAACGAGTTGATGCGCCGAACGTGCGTATTAAAGATATAATAATAAATATGTTTATGCAATGCTTAATTATCAGCGTCAGTACATTTGAGATGTGCAATAATGAAACTCATCTTGGTAATTGTCTATTTGTTAATACTTTAAATGTGTTTTAAATTGTTTTTTCGTTGTTAAAGCTTTAAAATTATTTTTAAGAGCAATCTGAAACTAACTGCAGCTTAGCGGCCATCCCTGAAGAAGTATATATTGAACATTTTATTACTTATGTATATTTTCATAATCACGCGTTCAGCTCTAACGATCACTTCGTAATTTTTTGACCGTGTCGTAAATGTTTGACGACTTGCTTCGCCGCCTCGCTTATGTCACTCCGTTTCGCGGACGTCATCGTCTCGATCCGCTCGACTGGAATTATCATAGTCAAATCGCTAATGTTTTTCGGCTCCTCGAGATCGTAAGTGACAGATTGTAGGACGCGCAGGCAAAGCAGCTGCGTCTCTTCCGAAGACGCCTCATCATCCAAACAATGACTTAGCGCGACTCCCACTTGCGATTCGAGCAGATATTGCAAGCCGGTCTTGTTCATGCTCACGTTGAACAGGATCATTAACATTAATCTGCAATTACGATCGCGCCTGAGATATCGTCGATGTTTTGTTTTTCAATCAATATCGGGACGCAATATATAGAAATTAGGAATGAAGATAAGATAGAGATGGAGACAACTTTAAAGATGTGCGAGGAGATAATTCTTTAGACCCTGATATACAGCACGCTCTTTGCGCCTAGAAACATTCTATTTCGTAGTCAATGAATACATTTAAAAAATTTATGCAAGCTAATAAATTGTACATCGTACAATCGTACACCGCGGACAATTTTTTTAAGAGTTTTGATTTGCTTATATTATATAAAATAGAATCAGGTTCAAACCCTGGCTGAGGTATTGTTTTTCGCAGTAGACTTAAAATTAAAATTATTTAGGTACTAACATCCCGTCTTGGCACTTACTCCTTTATTACTTGGTATTTGAGTTTTCACATTAGAACCTTATGAATTTTATTAATCGTCAGAATAGAATGTTTCTAGACGCCAAAACGCACATTGTAGTTCAGGCTTAAAATATGCGCGTACCTCTTCAAAGACCTTGCCCCGGGAGCTGGCGGCAATTCGGGCGTCAGTTTAATTAGCTTTTGCACGAATTCCGTGCCGCTGGAATTTGTAATTAAAAATTCACGACCTTCCGGGCTCGCGGATATATTGGAGACGATACCGACGAGTCCCATTACAAATTGGTACTCAATGTTACTCGTAGGAGGGAATGCGCTCCTATAAGTACTAACGAACGCGCCGAAAGTCCCGTTCACTATCGACAAGAATTCCCCTATTGTATTCTGAAACTACGAGAACATTACAGGATTGAGGATTACTTTGGCTACTTTTACAGAACAGCTAGGACACGAGTTGCATTACATTTTAAAAACTCACTTAACTACACAATTAATTGCATACTTATGTCAAGTATCAATATACTTTGTCATAATGTAAAACGGCTGGCAATATTATACATTTTGGATTCTACAGATTTTGTATCCTCTCGAACTTTCGTTTTTAATGCAAATATTTTTAATGCAGGAAAATTGCAACTACGCCGAGAGAATGTTCTCTTAAAATTTATCCTGAAAATTATATAATCGTGGGACAGCGTCGCGTTTCGAAGAATTTTATGAGAGTTTTTGAAATTTTACCATACCATTCTAATAATTACACTTAATATGCATTTTATTAGTAGGATGCATGGTAAAATTTCAAAAACTCGTAAAATTCTTCGAAACGCGACGCTGTTCCCCGATTATATAATTTTCAGGATAAATTTTAAGAGAAAGTTCTCTCCGCGTGTAGGATATTCTACTTGATATCATTACCGTGTACTTACGTTCGATAGCCAAACGTCGGCAATTTGCGGAAATCTAGAAGCACGCCACGTCAAGCTACCTAATACTGCACCAAGGCTTGTGCAATAAGTACTCTGACTTAATATCTGCACGATAGCGAAGACACATTAATAGATGATATCTTTTTAAAAAGTATAAAATGCCAAATAAAGTATCTTTATTTGGCATTTTTCCGATATAATGACAGACCATGAACAGTCAAAGAGTACTCGGTGTTTATAACGGAACAATGAAAGTTACTGATAATCAAGTTAACGGAAATGTAAAATAAAGAATAGTGTCTCTATCGAGATAATAAAATTTTACTTGATCTTTCAAACGTTCTATCTCCTCGAACGCGTCTTCTTTCTGTTTCGTTAGACGTTCGATCTGAACACGCAGCTCTTCGCACTTCGATTCCAACTCTACAATCTCTTTTGCATTATCTATAAGTAAACTCGATATATTTAATTTCATTCACGCGTAAAGATATTTTTAATGAGTTAAAAGCTGCAATATCGCAATAACAGATCAATTTGTTATACCGTTTGTCAATGTATTTACTTGAGTATTCGACATTCTCGCGCGATAAACCGACGTCTCTTTTCGCGAAGAGTACAACCGAGGGGTAAACCGCTGACCAAAATCATGTACACTAATGCCTACTAATGCCCGGTGCTCATTACTTTATCTTATTATCTTCTTTTATCTTGTTTGATCTTTTTAGATTCTTTATAATGCCCCAGCAAGGCCAAATAACACCCACTAATGCCCAAAAAATGCCTACACTGAAAAAATTTTCTGGTTGAATATGGACGAATCAGATAATTCCTTTAGGATTTACCAGAATTCCTGTAATCCTACTGGAATTCTGGTAAATCCTAAAGGAATTCTGATAAATCCTAAAGGAATTATCTGATTCGTCCATATTCAACCAGAAATTTTTTTCAGTGTAGTAATGTCTAGTAATGCCCGAAATCTGTACACCACAGTGCCCTCGGCGGTTTACTCCTCGAATACAACCTTTTAACGCGCTAACGGACGACGTTGAGAATTTATCGAACAGCGTGTGTGTCTTTTCTCCGCTTGTCTCCTCCCTGTGAGATGCAGCTTTGAGATTGTCGGTCGTCAAAATCTGCGGGATATCATCTACGAATTCGTTGTGCCCGCTGGAGCACGAAATTGTCTCCAGGGAATTCTGTAAGGCCCAAAGGGAGGTTGAACGTCGCGAATGAAAATTATATACGCGATAAGCGCTATACGATAATGCAAAAACAAATATACGGACTAGGAGTTCACGTTCATCCTTCAAATGCAATTGGTCCATGTGCGTGCTTTCTCGCGTTACCGAGGGAGAACAGCAACGTGCTTGCAGTCGTTGCGTGCAAATACTTTTAAAATTGCTCGCGGAATTCCGTTGCAATATGGCAAACGCGTTTGCAACGTCACGATTTTTATTTCAAATGCCTCTGTGACCTATAGTTAATTTCGCAATTACAATTTCGCACGTTTCATTCGTTGCTTCTACGTATGGTGGGCTAAAGCAGGAACTTGGAGATATAAAATTATGAGTCAACGGTATGCGTCGATATTGGGATTTACGAAAATTATAATTGAGAACCTATACCGCTCGGAAATCTTCATTCAAGACAACCAATTGATCTTCTCGGAGTTTCTCTTCGTAATAGGGATTAATTTCACAGAAAATGACATTTGATTCTTAACACATCTGGAAAAATTATACTCCCCAGCAGCGCGCTTTGATTCATTTGTATTTTGCTTCAATCGTATTTGGTTAACCCATCAGGCAGATTGTACACTAGGAATCACTGATACCTTTCCATCTGAATTTAGGCACAGAGTATCATGTGGAAAGGCATCGTGAAAATATTCGGGATTGTTCAATTATTTCTTAGATTTCTATTGTGTTTTCTAGGGAAAACGGAATAATTCTGAACATTTCTATAATAATGTATGTACCTAGGAATCGGTGATGCTTTCCCATATGAATATAGGCACATACATTTTCCATGTATGTATATGCAAAATGTATAAATGCATCGATGTGTGCACAAATTATGTGGGAAGGCATCGGGGATTCCTAGTGTACACTAGGATACTCCCCATACATGGAAATGTTCGGAATTGATTCCGATCGGAATTGTTTCATTATTTCCTAGATTTCTATTGTGTTTTCTAGGAGAAATGGAATAATTCCGATCGGAATCCATTCCGAACATTTCCACGATAGGTACCTGGGAATTACGGGTGCCTTTTCATATGAATTCAGGCACATGTAGAACACTTATCCATTTTCCATGTATGTGAATGCAAAATGTATAAATATATGTGTAAATTCATGTGGGAAGGCATCAGTGATTCCTAGTGTATGCAGACAGTTGTACGTGCGTAATCTCGTAAAAAAAAGCACGGATTATGTTATCTTGTAATATACACTGTATGTATCACGGACTTTTATGTATAAAAGTCTGTTGAATATATAATATGAGGTATGTTTCTGAAAATAGCAGTCGATAAAAGAAGAAACTCGACTTATTTTTAATCAATGCTTGTAATAGGTCCATTTTAGACGGTCTGGAACTCGTAGTCAGAATTCAGTCTAGAATTCCATTTATAATTTTGTGTACAGCAATGTAAGAAGCATTTAAATAATGTCGGAATGATTTGGAGCCGCCCTTTATTAATCTTTATTATTCTCCGGTTGTTTAATCATTATTTTTTTAAATTAATCTTTATTCCCTGCACATACGATGAGTATGTTAGAGCAAGGTTGAAAAGTAAAGCCAACGGCACACGATACTATTTTTCCTCCTGGATTGCTTGCGAGAGCCAATCAGGGTTTAGCCTTAAGTCACCTGATCTAAAACTCTGCGTTCTATTGGTTCTCTCGCAAGTAATCCAGTAGGAAAAATAGTATCGTGTGCCGTTGGCTTAACTCGTTACTTGTAACAAAGTTACAGTTACTTCTTTTTTTTTTGGGTAACTTTAACTTAACTTCGTTACTTTCTCTACTATCTGTAACTGTAATTTAACTCGATTATATTTTTTCGATGACTAGTAACTAACTTATTAGTTACATTAATAGTTACTATGTATTTGAAACCTCCACAGATCGCATTGGGCCTTGCATTTGCGCATAAACGCCTTTCTCGACGCTTATACAATTCAAATGCAGATTTGATATCTTTATTTTCATTGCACGAAAGTAACTGCAATGTAACGATTTACTTTTTCAGTAACTGTAACCAGATACCTTCATGAAGTAACTTTCCCAATCCTGCTAACAATGAGTACGTTTGGAGGATAGCGTGGATTAAGGTATTCCTCGTATCTCTCGAGTATCCCGTGCCGTTGATTCGATCCTACCCAAAGAATCACGCGTGGATCGTTACATCTTTATTGCGCGACCGCGGATTAAAAGGAGACGCAGAGTAAAATCGTTGCGAGTTATATACCTCTCGTCGTGCGACAGCCGAGCTGCATTGAAAAAGTCAGTCGCAGAACCGCGCGGCGTCCGTGCGAGAGGCCATGCTGAATCATCGGCGACATTCCGCTGCGGCTTCCGTTCGCCGCGATAAGATAGAGCGGCCCCGAGGGCCGGACGCGGCGTCGCCGCCGCGCCGGCGCAAATACGCGCGAATAGGCGTCGCGCGGGAGACGCGCGCGAGTTGCGAACTCGCCGTGCCGACGTAACGTAAACGCGGCGTGGCGTGGCGTGGCGTGGCGTGGGGGGCGCGCGCTATTTCCCGCGTGGCCAACATCGAATGGTTTGCGGGACGCGCGACGCGCGTGCCCTGCGCGCGCGTCCCTTCCCCCACCCCCTTCGCGGTACTACGAGTACGATGCGCCAGAGCGGTATCAGGCGTAACCTCGCGACTCGTACAAGTTTTATTATTTTTCGCGGCGTCGTCGCGGCTATCTGCGTGGAGTGTGGAGCCGACCGTTCCGGGATCGCGCAAGTAAGTGGAGCGAGCCGCGGCGTCGCGTTTCCGCGCGCGCCGGACCCGGTGGGAACGCGGCCGTGCAGCGGGCGAGCCGCTTTCCCGCGAACCGCCTCCGAGCCCGCCGATCGTTTACGTTTACGCGTAGCCTTCGTAACGGACGGTTACGAAACTCGCGTGGCGCCCCGCGCTTTTCGACCGGACCGAATTCCTCGCGTCGCTCGGCCGCCCGATCGAGGTGCTCCTGCACGCGAACGGAGCAATAAGTGGTCGTTTTTTCGCCCGCGATTCCGTTAAATCTGGCTTATATAAGCCCAGTAGCTTTAATTAGCTTGTTTTCCCGGATTATTCTGTACGTTATATGCGATATGTGTGTGTATGTGTATGTATGTGTGTGTGCATGTTGCGTGCGCACGCGTATGAATGTGTGTGTGTTTCTTATATACATATGTATACGCATATGTGCATACATGTTTATTTTGCACATAATGCATTGAGCTAGAAAATATTTAATTGAGTCCATTGATTAATTATTAATTTTAATTAAGTTTCAAGCCAGTCCTTAGCATGCGCTCCTTACAGGTCTCACAATGAAGTTCACCGAGGGTGAAGAGGTGCTCGCCAAACATCCGAACACCTCTGAATACTACAAGGGACGGATTCTGAACGTTAAAGGAGATCGCTATAAAATACAATTTGAAACAGGCATCGAGTCCATGGTCAGAGAACATGACATAAAGGTAACTTGTTAGCGTTTGATAATTTGTAGCTTTGTTAAAAATTAAATACTAAGTAGTATATCGTACGAATTTGAAGTAACAATCTAATATACATTCTTTTTTGCTCTTCGAAGGCTGAGAGAGGAAGATCTGCAACCAGAGCGAGCAAGAGAACAGGGAAAAGTCCCCCGAGATCTTCGCCTAGTAGGAGGTCGCCGAGTAGACGATCGCCAGCGAGGCAGTCGGGCAAATCGCCTGCGAGATCACCAACGATGTCGGCGAGAAAAATGCCCGTTCGCAGCACGCGTCTTGCTAAAATATCTCTATCGCGCATTGATGTCGAAGGCGGTAAGTGTAAGCCTCGCTGTATTTGGCACTCGTCGCGTACATTTCGATACTCGTGTGTAAATTTGTTCTCGCGTTTGCGTAGACAAAACGAGCAATCATAAAGGAAGCGATGCAAAGTCACTGTCAGATAGTCCGACTGAAACGTTGCCTCTGCAGCAACGCCTGAAGAGAGAAGTTATGACTGTAACGCGCAGACCGACGCTTCTGAAGACTGAGCAGGAATATAAAGCAATCATGCTGACGAGAAGCTCCGATAGAGCCGTCTCGCTGCCGGTGGAGAGAAAAAATTATGTACAAGATTATCTTCCGGGAGAAAAGGAAAGAGGATATTCAGTGCAAAGAGATCAAGTGTGTTTTGATTGCTCATTATTTTAATATATGTATAATATAATAGTATTATATTTCATAAATCTTTCTTACTTTCCAATTAAGAATATCTAATGTATGTTATCGGTGATCGTTGCAGGATTTGACGAAACCCGTGCAAGAGGGAGAGAAATGGGAAACGGTGGTGAAACGTCAAAAAGAGATAAATAGAGTCGACAAACCGCAAGAATGGGGCGGATGGATCGGGACGTCTTTCCTCGTATTTATATTGCCGATGTCTGCAATCTTACCACAGTTCTTGTGCTTGAAAGGACAGTGCAAAACTGCACTCGTGAAGCTTCCTGTCAAATTGGAGTCTTACTTAAATTTATATACACCGTTGTCTTACGTTGCGTTTTTAACATTATTGGCTTGTATTTCGATTATACCGATCGGAAGAACCGTTGACGGACAGCAGAGTAAAACCGGGAGACTCCAGTATCGCATAAATGGTACATACTTGTGTAATTTTTAATTTAATTACGTTATTTATTAGATGTTTTTAATATTTTTCTCAAAATTTTTCAGGCTATTTGAGCGCCATAATAACGCTACTGATATTTGGTTTATGCGAATACATGAATATATCGGTTAGCGATTACATCCTGAATAATACCGTGCAATTGTCAGTCAGTGGCTGGATTGTGGGAACACTTTTAGCTATCGGATTATATATAAAGGCAGGAAAAGCCCCGGTGATCAATCTGAATATATATGCATCAACCAACAGCAAGATATATAATTTTTGGCAGGGCAGGGAGATTAATCCGCGAATTGGTGCTTTGGATATTAAGCTGCTGTTAATTCGAGCTTGTCTCATTGGCACGGTGATTATTACTTTACATCTTGATCTTCAACCACAAGTGGATTTTATGCTACGTAAACTATAAAAATAACAATTAAAAATTTAATGTAATTCACTATTTTGCAGTTGCTCGTGAACATGGCCATCGCGATTAAAGCTGTTGGCGGCGTAAAGAATATAAATATTGAGAAACTTGAAATGGCTGCATTGTTAGTTGTCTTGATGCAGCTCATTTATACTCTGCATGGATTAATGTACGAAGCCGCTATCCTTACGTCCTTCGCAATTATGTACGAGGGAACCGGATACATGACATGTGTTGGTCCCCTGTTGTATCCATTTTTGGGGACTCTCACCGCAAGATTTATCTTGTATCAGAAGTAAGTTCAATTAACATACGTATCAACATAAGTACCAACGCAATATCTTGCTAATTTCTGTTTGATGCATTTTTTCAGGGTGAAACTCGACTACTTCGTTGGCTTATCCATCTTGAGCTTTGTAATAGGATTCGTCTTGTATAGGACTAGTAATCTGCGGAAAGATGAGTTTAGGAAGAATCCAGTTTCGCCGACAGTACCTTGTAAGTGCAAAAGCAAACGATGTATATTTCTCTTGTTTTCCTTTTCTGGATTAAAATTAATGTCCGTTCTTGAAATTTACAGATTTGGAAACCATCCCGACGTCACGTGGCAAGAAATTGATGTTGTCCGGTTTATGGGGCTGGGTGAGACATCCTAACTACTTGGGTGACATTATAATGCAATGGTCTATCGCAAGTATTAGCTGGACAAAGGACATTCTGCCGTACTACACAGCAATCTGCTGCACGTTAATGCTCGCTTACAGAGCTGTGAGAGACAATAGACGTTGCCAGATGCGATACGGATATGCATGGGAGCAATACTGTTCGCGCGTGAAGTACATGATCATGAAACGTATATTTTAAAACAATTGAAGGCATAGCATGAGGTATTTATGAATACCAAAATCTATATCAGAGTTTTATCATAGAAGGTAATGCTCATTACATTTTATAGGATCTCTATTCGTGCATTTTACAATATTTTTTTAAGCCATAGTGATACACTAGTATTATAAAGTACACAAATATTAGAATCGGATAAGAGCCAAAAATATTTTGATAATATTGAAAGATTTCACATTAGAGCGAGAGAGAAAGATATATATGTATATGTATATTTAAGCTTATAATATGAATCTCCATATATGTGATGAGAAGTTAATAGGATGATGCTGTATGTTTTGATAAAGAGAGGAAAAACTTGTGTATTTGTAGGCTAAACATATATTGTAGGACTATTATAAGTATATATTATATTGGTTATAAGACATGTGCCTGTAAAAATATCATTACAAACTTGAAAATACAAATGAATTTAGAAATTTTATACTTTTATATATTAAACATGCATAAGTGTACAATTTTATCATATAATTATCTTATAGAGATTAGTATTCTCTTTAAAAAATTTCAATTTTTTTAAAATAAAATAGCCTTGTCTATGTTTTTGTGTTTCTCTTATAATTCTAATGTAATTCTTCAACATGGATGTATAGCTATATTTTTGAACTATAGAGTCTGCAATAGTCTCATATATATGTGTAATCATTTTTGGATTAAGGATCTGTAATAAGATCTGCAATAGTCTCATATATATGTGTAATCATATTTTTGGATTAAGGATCTGTAATAAGAACCATATATATAAGAGGCGCCAGATTATGGTATTATTGCTAAAAAATTTCTAAATTAACAAGTTGATGTTATAAAGCCATACATAAGAAGAAAAATAAATTACTATAATTTTAAACATGTTGAACAGGATTTGATATGTTAAGTGGATTGTTAATGATATAAAAATATAATAGTATATTTGTACACTTATTTTTTATTAAACTGCTCGTATATATATATATATATATACATGTACATCTAATTATAAAAACAATCACGTTAAATTGGATTGTTAAAAATATGCCCATTCAATCTATTTATCTGTAACGTAATTGTCAAACGGAAGTTTGGACATTCTTACGCTGTAAATCATTATGTGTCTTAGCCAATCGTTAATAGAGATTATCTTACATAGGTTTCTGTCTGATAGATACTATTTACTTCTGAAAATAAAGATTTTTCTCGAAATTGCACGTACGACTTACTGTAAAATAATGAAAGCAAACTTCCGTATATTTGTAAATCTATTTACGGTAGACACGTGTTTAATTGCCCGGATTATTATATTTATTTATTCACTATTTTTATAGCCATTACTTATTCCTTAAAATTATATTTAGAAATCGTCGTTAAGCCACAAATGTACTGCCTCTACATGACGTTCTTCTTTATTGCACGTTTTTAAGAAAAATATTTTTCAAGTCTGTACGTGATGACATATGATATAATCCATGCCTGCAAATTGTATGACTGAAAATGACGATTGTGGGAATAATTATTATATAATGTATAGAAAGAATGATGTTAATTGCCAATCCGTTATAGATAATATTATCAATATATTTCTTCAAATCACAATTTATTATCATCGATAACAATCTCTTCGATTCCATCAGTTGATTTATGTGAACTTATAACTTGATCCGTTAATGTTACACTGAAGCGAACCGGCGATCATTAAGGTAAACCCAAGTTACTAATATAAAAAAATATTCAGTTATATATCATCTTATCAGAATTTATCGTTACAAAAAAATTAACAGATTAAAAATTCATTTTCAGTATAGTGCGTCAAATCTTTATAAGATATTTCAATAAGATATTTCTTGACATACAAAGAAGAATAGCTTTTTGATACACGGAAAACATTTTATTTTGAGAAAAAATGTATGACAGATCACTTTTATCATCACGGACGCAAATGTCTCATTCCGACGCAGTTTTATTTCTCGAGATCATCGCAAATTTTGTCGTCCCAATATATACTTATTGACCTTTCTCGTACGAACATGACAAATGCTATCATGCTTCATTAGGAACATATTGTCGCTCGTCCATATTGCTCTTATTGCTATGTATATTTGTATACTTTCTAATTAATGAAAATTTCGCTGTTGGCACACACGAGTCCCCCGCCGTTCTACTTTTTATCGATAAATGTTTCGTGGCAGTACTTTCGATTCAGTACTTTCATCACCTGCTGCTGGTATTCGGTGGATCTTGATCCCCCTGAAAAATATTGCACATCGTTCAATGGTCATGCTAGAAGACGTGAAAGGATCCTCCCGAATCGATTGGTCCTTTTTAGGCGCACACGAGGCCGAGCGGAGTATTCAGTATTTAATATCCGTTCGCCGCTCAGAAGAAATAGAAGATCCAGTACACGGCGTTAAACAGCATGAAGCTGACCGGGAAGATGATCCGCGAGTACTTGTCTATTACGTTTACATCCTTGATCTTCGGCATCGATACACGTAATACGGAAGCTCCTCTACGTAGAGCATGTAACACCTACAAGATTGCAATTTTAGACCCCAAGTAGATTTAAATTAAATTTAAACTTTGACGGAAGAGAAAGAGAGAGGAGTGAGTTCAAAATTTAAGAATAACTCTGACAATGCTTTGCATTTTTTCAGGAGTTCTACATAAATATCTTTACAAAAATGTGAAACGTAAAGGCGTTGGTGAAAATGTTGGAGAAATTCCTCAAGTATTTTCAGTACAGTTGCTTTTGTCCAGAAACGCCTTCGCATACCTTTGGCTTGTGCGGTCTCGGGCCTCTGTACCTGAGACCGCTGTTTCGTCCGTGCGTATTGTAAGCGGCGGTCCTGGAAATACGAAAGCTCGGTGGAAACTTGGCCGGATCGTGATCCCTTCCGACCCCCGGTGTCGATGAAGCGCTCACTAGGCCCGACCTATTTCTAATGCTCGGCAGGGGCGACATTCTAAGGTCTTGAAGCTCTATGATATCCGCGTCCGTGGAGCCAGGGTAAGGCGAGCTGGCTTTGCTCCCTGTAAGGAAATAAATCCATCAAATAGAAAATAATGTGTCAACTTTTAGAGATCATCAGTCCGATTTTCGGTTACCTGTTTTAGAAGATAGTATCTTTTTCTCATCGGTATCTTTCTTCTTGGTCTTCTTCTTCGCTCTGGCGCCCCAATACGTGTAATTGACCGCCGCGTATTCCAGCAGAGCCGCGAACACGAAAACGAAGCACATCACCAGGTAGATGTCGATGGCCTTCACGTAACTGATCCGTGGCAGTGAGCTTCTAACACCTGTCGATATTGTTGTCATAGTCAATACGGTCGTGATGCCTGAAAAGAAGTGAGTAATAAATTATACATCCTATATTACACTTGCATATAAATTTAACAGGAGCAGAATTTTTCTAAGCAATTTGTTAGAAAATGAAGATCGAAATTTATTGTTAAAAGGGAAGAAGTAAAACTTACTGATTAATGGAAATGTGATTTTAATTAATTTAATGAAATTATGTAATTTCTTTAAGACGTACCGAGAGCTACTCTCGCACTGGTGGCTTCGTGATTGATCCAGAAACTGACCCAGCTGAGCATCACAATTAGTATACTTGGCAGGTACGTCTGAAAAACGAAATATCCAATGTTCCTCTGGAGCTTGAAGCTTAGCGAGAGCCTTTGGTAGATGCCCGTCGCCAGCTTCTCCTTTCGATCGTTGGTCTCGTAGCCGATTATCGTAAATTGCGGCAATTCCGCCTCCTCGACCCCACGAACGGGAGTATCCTTCCAGTACATTACTACGTCGAGCACCGTGTATCCATCTGAACATTTAAAACAGCACAAATCAGAATGGTCAGCAGTTTTTAAAACTCAATTTTTTTCACTTCTTTCACTTCTCGATTCGTACTCAAATGATTGGGTTTTTACGTACATCTTAAACGATATTATTACAATTGCAATTTTTGCGAACGAAAATTTAAAAAGATGGGAAACATTTTTTTAAACTAAAATATTCCGATACGTACAACTTTCGATTTCGACTGTGCAATTCTGCGAATCGAGGGGGTAGTAATGCAAGTCCATCATGCAGGCCAGGGTCGTTGTGAATCTCATACCGTATGTGATCGAGCCGTCACCAGATAATCTAACGAGTTTGTTGCGCTCGGTGACATCGTGCAGGAAACTGCAATAAATTCGGTAAAACGATACATTAAGGCAGAGCTGAGGAAAGATACAGGAATAAAACATCGTAAAATAAAATCGTCAGGAATAAAATATACGAATGTTCAACGAGGGTATTTCGAAACGTTACAATAATTGATTCGTCGCGTTACCTATTTTTATCATTGGCAAAAAACGTGTCCGGGACCCAAATCTTTTCCGCAAAATCGCCGCTTAATGTCAGGATTTCGTTCTCGTACGAAAAGGCCAGTCTCTCGTCCTTCCAATATTGATTTAAGTACATAGTTATCGTATAATCCTGCGATGCAAATAATGATTAATGTCGCTAAGAATACTTGTTGTTGCAGACAACTAAAAACAAATTATATGAAACGTACGTATATGTATAATCCGTTTCGTTGTTTTCAAGGGGAGAGAACGATAAAAATATCATCGTTCAGAAATACGTTCCAACAGAACGACACGATCACGGATAAAGAAATAAAAAATGAGAAAAGAAACTTTGCTACATGCATGTCGAAAAAATCGCTGAATGAGATACCACGCGTCGCTCTGGAGTCGCGCTGCTAGTATACTATTCCTACTTTATTCGGAAAAAAAAGATCAAAAGATGTGGTTATCGAGAATATCGATAGTGCCAACCCTCGATTGGCAGCATTCGGGGAGTAAATAAAGTAAGTAAACGAGAAGGATTTCGAGTGAGTATCTAGATAGCTCAAATTGGCAGAGCATTGGCCCGGCGAGCGATAGGTCCTAGGTACGAATCCTGGTCTAGTTCTAGCTCGTTATTTTTCTCGCCGAAAATTAATAAGTGGCGCGTCTTATTGCTAGTGCCTATCTCCCCGAAGATACACTCCTATTTATTACTATGGCAGCAAAGTCGAACAAACAGCAACAAATAAGACAAAAATGCAAACACGACCTAGAAAAGATAAGAGCATTGTAAATTATGTTTATAATTGATACGCGCTCTTATCTTTTCTTGATTCGGTTTGTATTTTTGTCTTATTTGTTGCTGTACTCTATTTTAAATACGAATCGATTTACGAATCGCGACGAGGATGTTCCGAATGTCGGTGAGAGAACGAATTTTGTATTCTGACTTGTGCGTATAATATTCCAATACAAACGTCTCCAACGCAATGTAAGCGTCGGTTTACAAATAAGTATGTCACGAGATTTAAATGGTAATATAAATCAAAGAAGCAAGATAAAGTACATTAAAAGTAGTTTTTAAACGTGATAAAATTAACTTCGTATTAAAAAATTAAATTTACAATATAGAAATCATTTATATAACATATTAAAATTATCATAAACGTATATTAAATATTTGTATGAACTATTAGGCAAATTTATATTAAGCTATCAGGCAAGTGGATTAAAAATTATTGCCGCACTGCAAATGCTCTTTATTTCTACCAATATCTTTTTTTTATTTTATTTACTCACCATATTGACTTCTGAGATCGCGTCGAAACTCGCGATGGTGAGATCCATCCCGACTCGTAATGGATCACCTTTAAATAATAATCTGTTATTAATTTCGTAGATACATAACTCAAGAACTATACATTCTTTTTAAGGTAATTGCAATATGTATGCAAAAAAACAAGAGAAAGGAATATAGCTTGAAGTCTAATCTATACTGATAATATCGTCGAATTATTTCCCCTCGTTGCATGTTCGATTAAAAATACTGATTGCGATCACGCCTCGTTGAATGGCGTGGAAAACTTCATTAAAAGCTTTTCATATCGCCCCTCAAGCTCTATTCGAAAGTTTAACTCTATAAAATACGGTTCGAAACTTAAATATGAGCGGTTACTCCATTTGTACAGTCCAATTCAATATGTTTTTCCTGGTGTTTGTATTTTTAAGTAGCATATCACATGTTGCATTTTCATTATAGATTTTTATACTTAGAAATATGTACTATTAATATATCGTTTATTAATATATATTATTACATCTCATTATTATGTGCAGTGCAATGCATTAATTCGGTTCGGGTCGTTATCGAAAAGCATCTATGTTTAAATAATCAAGTAATTTTTGCCTATCCTTAATTATTAACCGAACCAAATTAATGCACCGTACCGTACATATAATATAACATATATTATTGCGATGAATATTGCCATACGCCTCGGTGGTCGAATTGGTTGAGACGCCCGCCTAGCGAGAGGGAGGTGATATTTTTTCGCAATAAATTTTGAATAAAATATTTAGACACCAACACACTGTCACGGCTCTTAGTCCTTTATTTCTTCAAATTTGTGTTTATCACATTTAAGCCATACGAATTTTATTTATTTATATATTATTGTTTATTAATTATATATATAGCTTATTCAATTCAACACGTGAAATAATTTTTGTTGCAATTAAATAATGTATATCGCTGTAAACTTGCAGAAAAGCTTCATTTCAGGATAATTTTAAACAAAAAAAAACGTGCAAAACTCGACCCAGAGCTTACCGCCAAAGTTCGGCCTTAATCGGATATCGTAGCCGTCGAGTATCCTCGAAATTGTCTGCGTAACGTTCTCCAATCTATCGGACATCCCGGTGCTCTCTAGGGAAGCCCTGTGAAGTGCGAAATTCCGATAACTGTCGATAGAGCTTAAAGCTGTTAAAATATCTTTACTAACGAGTACGTTGTTAAATCTGTCAAATGAATATTGAAACGACTATGGGATAGCTTTGGTATAGTCTCTTAAATAAATGGACTTTAATATTACATATCTTTCAATATTAATTAACGTATTATAAATTACAATAATTGTGTGAATATTGGCAACATTTCAGTTCTATTTCAGATCACATCACAATTTTTTTAAACAAAAATCTCGCCTTTTGAAGTACGCCCCAAATATCTTAGACGTTCATTTTTATTAAACATGGCCTAACGAACAAAATCCAAGATATACGTTTCTTCCTGACCCCCGAAGATGAATCATTTATCCAAGGTTCGTTTAATATTTTTACATATAATAGCACATTGTATTTTTATATAAAAAGCAACAAATGTTACCATGTGTAAATTTATGTGTGGCGTAATATACAACGGCTCAATAAAGATATGCATATAATTAAGGTATAAAACGATATCGAAATTAACGCGTGCAAACAACGAAGAAAACCATGGATAGAAAAGAAATAGTGGAACGCCTCGGAAAATTACTTCCATTGACTAATTCGGGCACTGTCGATCTGGTCTGGTCCATAGCGATCATTGTGCTCGCTATCGTAATATTCTTCATTTTGAGAAAAAATTAGCGGGTTGCGGGAAGATTGCTTCGCTTTTGTATGTGGCGTTGTTCGGAAAACATCATCAGGTTCGTCTTTTGCCCGGAAAATGGAGCTTTGTTGTCTCTCCTTGTGTACAGCGGACTGATTGGAGTTTTAATTGCCCGAACGATCGCTCGTGTTGCACGTCGAGCTTAATGTAGGTATTTAATTATTTTCTTTTGCGAAAATCTGTATTTGTTCTGTCCGTCAATTTATTTTCTATATATATATATATACTATACCCCATGTATATATAGAGTAATTTTCTTTATTGCATTTATATAGTAATAATTGAGAATCGCGACTATGTTAAATCACATTGCATTTTAAGTTTTACAGTCGCGCTATAGATTATTATATTGAAGAGTTTTAGAAACAAAGTTTAAGTTCATTGAACAAACGAGTCAAAAGTCAACTTTTTCTTTAGTGAAATATCTACAAAAACGTTGACAACGTTAGTTACATAAAGAGTTGATAAAGATAGAGATAAATAAATAGAGAGCTAGAGAGAGAGAGAGAGAGATATCTTTTTAATAATATGTATTTAAAAAATTAGGCTTATATATGTCATCGATATAAAAAGTTTATAATTAGCATCTCATTCTTTAATTTAGAGACAATTTACGTGCAGCGCCTTAAAAAAGGGGTCCCTTGTTATCTTTGCTGGATATGTATCTTGGGATACACAATCAAAATCGCGCCGCCTGCGAACGCGTGCTCGTTATTGGCACATATAGGAAAGCATGAAGCCTCTTGTAAAAACCCTCGTGATTTTCCACGAGAAGGCGAGGATTCGGATGACGATGGCTCACCAGATGACACGATGACGCAGCTGCACGAGGAGGACGATCAGCGGCAGCCCGCGCGGCAGCATCCTGCCAATCGTCTTCGTTATCCGGCCGGGATTGCGTCAGTGAACGACGAGCGCGATGGAGAACGTCATCTCGCGGTATCCTCGCATCCCCTCGGCATCCCCGTAACCGGCTCGCTGCCGCCACCCCCGCCGTTCTGCAATCACAGACGAAGGGAAGAGCGCCCGTTGATCCTTTCCCCACGCTTCCCGCTTGTTCGTCGCTACCCTTGACCCGGTGTACGGCTTTCACATGTACGTACACCAGGAATCACTGATGCCTTCCCATATGTAATTTAGGCACATATCTACACATTTATATATTTTGCATATACATACATGGAAAATGTATATGTGTTCTACCCGTGCCTAAATTCATATGGGAAGGCATCAGTGATTCCTAGCACATATTTACACATTTATATATTTCGCATATACACACATGGAAAATGTATATGTGTTCTAGCTGTGCTTAAATTCATATGGGAAGGCATCAGTGATTCCAAGTGTACTCCCATACGCGATGTATTCTAGGCGAACACGCACCGACGGAGTTATCCCGCATGCAGGACAAGTCATGCGGTTCCCGCGATAAGTCTACCCTGAGGCAGGAAGGGGGTTAATTCAGAGGAAGACAAAGGAAAATCCATGGAAAACTTATCCTCCTATCAATCCTACGTATCCCATTCTCAGAATGTACAGGAGAAGTAAGCTCAATTGAATTTCGTTTAAATTAATTACGTCTCGACTAAAAAAACATGTATTTAAGTTGAACTTGATTCTTATTTCAGTTACAAAGCAAAGAAACGAGCAGTTGCTTCTAAACGTTGCATATCAACTTGTATTTTGCCATTGTTAAACATACAATGAGTCACATGGTATATTATCGCTCTTAGAAAAGGTAATAAAATAAAAACTTTTTATTCTATTACATTCATTAATCTTATCGCGTAATGCCGTTAACCAAGAGAGCGAATAAGTTATGAGTCTCTTTCACGTGTATTATTCTGTGGGGCAAACCAATGGCGTTTCTCTTTCCGAAATTTCCGGGTATGGAAAGTGACTAGAAACTAGATGTGACTCCATTATTACATGTTTGATTGACCCAGATTGGAGAGTAAAGCATAACGAAATGTGAACGGGCGCGTTGTACGTGCAATACAGTAAAATAAGAACGCGAAATGAAATCGCGCATAACACGCTCTACATATCGCCTGCATGTGCTCGAACCTCGCGCTTTATTCACTTCCCATTTAAAGATTGCGCACGTACGATGCCCACACTTTCGCCCCTATAGACACGACTTTCGTGGAAAACGATAAAAGGAGCGCGTAAAATATATTCGGCAATATTACGTACTCTTTTGATAAAGCTATTCCCCGGGACAATCAAGACGGAGAACGTCTTGTTAGTCACGAAACTCTATACGCCGTAAATAATGAAGGGACGACTTTTTTCCCTTCTTCACGTTGGCTTTATTAATACTCGAGTTTTAGATTGGTGACAGGAAATATTTCATGCACGCGACACCCGCAGGTACTTGAAAAAAATTACGAATGTACAAAATATTATGTTCCTCGCCGTTGCCTTATTAATTAATAATTCACATCTTATAAAATTACGTTGTGCATAAAAATCAAACAATATACTTTTACAAATAACGGAATCGTACAAATGGTATTAAGTCATGACGTAGAAAATCAGTAGAGATGAAGACACATGATACATACTAGGATTTAATTAATCTGTTCCCTAGTATCCATTTTCTAGTAAACTATCTGTAATATGCCAGCAGATTGGCAAGAGATTTGATTAGAAATTGCTAGCAAATTGGCATCAACTGCGTTCGTTAAGCTCGTGTTTTGCTGATAAAGCCTGCTGATATAACATGACAGCATATTGGCGGCAGAAATCGAGCAGGTTCTGTCGAACGCAGATTCTGCTCTGTTTCTGCCACCAATCTGCGTTAGACTGTACAGCAAAAATATCAACGCTCCTTGATTATTTACTGTTAATCAGCCATATTTATATTTTGTTATATTGTTGCCGGCAACAGCCTCGTGTACAGCAAATTCTACGAAATCTTCTCTTTAAAATTTGTATCGGACACTTCGCAGAATCTATTTTCGACACAGACCGTCTGGGTTTTCACTTATTAATGTATATCAATTTTTATTAAGAAATTTATTCGATACACAAGCTACACAAATCTTACAAGTACTTCCGAAAAAAAAACGCTGACTTGCTGCAATATTTCCCAAATAAAATCAGAACAGCCAACGATTTTATGCAAATAAATTCATTCGAGTTTACTTAAATAAATATTGTAACATCTCTGTAAATGTATCAATTCTCTGCGGTTTGCTAACAAGTATACTTACTACTTTTGCTACTTATAGATTTATGTTGCATGCATAGGCAATTACCTGCTGCATCCGATGAGACTCACGATGCACGCGACGATCTCATTGTCGATCCGACGGAGATGCCAGATTGATCGTTAGACGGATTATCGCGCCGTTGACCGGAGTTATCACTCGCACGCACCTCGGTCCATCATCGTAGCTGGAAATCGATCGGCGGCGCAGGATCGCGAGAACTCCCGAAACTCGACCGATCGTTATATTATCGCTCGTGGGGTCCACTATTCGCAGGATTCACCGGCTTATCGCCTGTCGTTCGACGCGATCGAACTCGCGGATCACTCGAACTCGCGAATCCGAACGCGCTGTCACGAGCGCGTCATCGATCGTCGCGCAGCATCACTCCACGTCGATATCCACATCCACGTCCCCGTTCTCGTCCACGTCCACGTCCACGTCCTTGTCCACGTTCACGTCGTGGTCCTCGTCGTCGGATAGAAACGTAGGCGCGAGGTATTCCTCTGCGCCACGAGTCTCGCGGAGGCTGCTGCCTTTCATCCCTCGGTAGCTAACGCGGATCCACTGTCGATTACTCTCTTCAGGTCCTCTCTCTCTCTCTCTCTGTCTCTCTCTCTCTCTCTCTCTCCCCCGTCCTCCCCCTCATTCACTCACTCCCCTCTTTCACTTGCTCATCATGAACGCATTCTCCCTCTCTCTAACTTGTTCACTTCGAAGATCATCCTGCTCACTCCCACCTGGCGATGCGCGGTTCCCTCTCTGTCTCTCCGCCACAATTCAACCCCCTTCTCTCTCGCTCCCACGAATCCTCCCTCTCCCACGCTCTCATTTTCGCGGAACATCCGTCCCTCTCGCTCGCATCCTCTTTTTCACGTGCGATTGCCCCGTTCCAACCCCGTTTATCCCTCTACCCGCTCCCTCGTGCCCGGTACCTCTCTTTCTCTCTCTCTCTCTC